GCAGCGGGGCCGGGCGGGACACAGTCCCCGTGCCTGGTCGGGCACCACCGTGCGCTCGCAGGCGAGAGCGGAAGCACTGCCAGATCAGCAGGGGAGATGAGGCAAAACAGGGAAACAGCAACTTCGGCAAAGGCCGAGGACACCAACAAGCCTGGCGGGTTCAGCGAGGGCAGCGGCAAACGGGAAGGACTAGGAAGGGCATCAGGGGCAGCGCGGAGGGCTCTGCAGGGCACGGCGCTCGTGCTGCCCTGTGCCACAACGGGCTGCGGACACGGACACGGGCACAGGCAGGACCTTCTCGGGAGCACGTGGAAACGCCTGCTGTCAGCAGGACACGGCGCCAGGGAAGCACTTTGGCAACTTGGATGTTTTGCCCCACGAGAAGGCAGAAGAGGGACAGGATAACATTTCAAAAGCCTAAAAGCCTGCTGGGGTTAAAAGCACCGAGCTTTCTCCCTGTCCGTGCTGGAATGGGACCAGACATCAGAAAAATGATGAACAAGAAACAATAGGGCAGCAGAGGGATGAACCATCTAGAGACGCTGGAGAATGCTGGAAAATTAGCAAAGTGCTTAAGAGGAGGACTGGCACCGGTGAGGAAGACCCTGCCATAGGTCAAGAGCCAAGCGAGGGCCAAGTGAGCCAAACCCTGGTGAAACCAGGTCAAATGTGGCAAATACCCTCATGGGATGCCACCCCCAGGTCGGATGCAGCCGATTACCTGTTCCTGCACAACTTGCCACAGGCAGAGGAGCAGGGGGAAGGTTGGGGCCGTGGGGCCGCGGGCAGCGCCGGTGCCTGGCTCCCTGTACCTTGTAGAGCAGCAGGTCGTGCTCCCCGTCCCGCAGCGTGGTGCCGTCCGGCCGCATCAGCTTCACGAAGGCCATGGAGAAAATCTTCTCGCTCTTGTCCTTGGCTGGAAGGGAGGCAGGCGCAGCTGCGGAGCAGCGGGGCGCAGCGGGCGCTCCTGGGAGCCGCCGCGGGAGCCGCACGCGGAGCAGGAGCGGGGGCGCCCGGCGGGTTTGCGCTGCCCTGGGCGGAGGGGACGCGGGCAGGACAGGGCCCGCGGAGGGGGACACTTACAGTCGCTGGAGGAGCGGTGCCTGAAGGTGAAGCGCAGGTGGGTCCTGTGCACATCCTCGATGGGGACAGCAACCTGCGAGAGAGGCGCCCGTGTGGGCACCGAGGGATGGGGGATGCGGGGACGGAGCCTGGCAAAGGCTGCGGCGAACCAGGAACCTGCTCATGCACTGCCCCACGTGCCGACCCCCGGGACACCCAGCCCTGGGCAGGAGCTGGCACGGACCTTCACCGTCTCCATCCAGCGCTGGTGTCGCTGCTGGTAGTAGACCACGGAGCGGTACTCGCTCACGGGCTTGTCCCCCGCCCCGTGGTAGATCACGTTCTGCAAGGAGACGCTCGCGCTCAGCTTGGGGCCGGGTGCTACGTACCCGTGCTGCAGCGGGTGCTTGTGCTGCAGCAGGGGAGACGCGCGCGTGCGGATGGGGAAAGAGCTGGGGCTGCGCCTGGGATGGCCCGGCGGAGCCTCCGCGACCAACAGGCCGCTTTGCAGAGCGGACACGGGGCGGGCGGGGAAGGAGGGTAACCCCACAGCAGAGAGGGGCCCGCGGCTGCCGCGTGACCAGGCACGATCCCTGGCTCCGGGCTGCTCTGCGCAAATCCTCCCGAGCTCCACCACCCACAGCAGCACCACAAGGAGCCCGGCAGCCCAGAGCACCCCTGCAACACCAGGATTTCTTGCCCACCGCTTCCAGACACTTTTCCAAGCCTTATTTAAAGAGCAAGGCTATCCCAGGGGGCAGCTGCAGGAGCTCCCGCTTTCAGGAAGGACCCTATTCCAGCCGGTTTGTGCCCAGGAAACGGCCTAGACTGCCCAGCAGTAATGGGGACGGGGACATCAGGGATGGGGCGCGAGGACGGGGCACGCTGCCAGGTGGGCAGGCTGCTCCTGCATCCTCATGGCCGCTCCATGGCCGCCCCATCCCTGCCGGCACCCAGCCGCTGCCCTCCCCGGCCGGACGCTCACCGGCACCACGCTGCCGGCCTCGTCGCAGACGCACACCGTCACCTCCACGTTCTTCTGCGTCTTCTTGTTGCCCTTGTCAAACTCTCCCTGCACCAGCGTCAGGTAGATGTCGTTGCGGACGTCCCCTGCAAGGAGCCGCGCAGTGACGCTGGCACCGCGCTCGGAGCCGGGAGCCCCGCGGAGGCTGTGCCGGGCGAGAGCACGAGCTGCTCCCGGCACACAGAGCGCAGCAGCCCCATGGGACCTGCTCCAGGCTGGAAACACCAGCGGGAGCTCCGGACTGTGGGAGCTGCTCCCCACTGCAGCCACATCCCAGCATCGCTACTGCGTCCCGGCCCAGCGCTGCTGCTGCATCCCAGGGCCACCGTGTCCCAGCATCGCTACTGCGTCCCGGCCCTGCTGGCACTGGACCCTGCTCCTGAGCGCGGCCGTGTTCCCATCCCCGCATGCACGCCCAGGTCCGTGCCCGCTCGCAGGGCACACCGTGTCTGAGCGCCACTGCCGCCCCGCTTGCCTGGCATGATGACCTCGGGGTAGCCCAGCTTGCGGGCCACCACGGTGCTGCGGTCCACGAGGTGCGGGTGGTCCTTGCGCACCTGGCTCAGGTCGCCCCAGAGCATCTTCAGGGACACCCAGAACCCTGGCGGGGACGACAGGGATGGGGTCAGTGCTGGGACGGGGCACAGCCCTCCAGCAGCAACAACCCCCAGCATTGCAGCAGCCAGGGCAATGCAGGCGCCCGCGCAGGGGCCGAGCAGGGACTACCTTGGCCCTTGTGGTTGATGTCCTTCCCCTCCGCCGCCTTCCGTATCATGCTGTGCAGGAAGTCACTGTCGGTGGCCACCCTGCCGGCACCGGAGGACATGGGGGGCGGCACTGCCGGGGGGCAGGAAGGTCCCCGGCACCGCTGCTCCCATGGGGATGCAGCCAAGGGGGCAGACGGATGGATGGAACATCACCGGGCCCCAACAGCAGCCCCACTCGTTTTGGAGCCAAATTTGATGGTTAAAGGGCTGGTTTTGGCTGCTCCCTTCTGCTGCAGCCCCCGCCCCGTGCTGGCTGCCTGTACTCACTGGTGCACGGGGATGAAGTGCTGCTTGTCCTCGTCACTCTCGCTCTTCCCCTTGGTGATGTCCGTGATGTCCATCACTGCGGTGGCATGCGGCACTGTGGGCGGCTGCAGGGGTGCCGTGGCCAGAGCACCACGGAGCCTCCGGCGCCCACGGGAACACCGCGACCGAGCCCCTGCTCTCCCCGGAACGGCTGGCCGCGGAGC